CTGCGCCATAACGCTTTCTAACGCGTTGGCCAGTTGTGGGAGTGTCTGCGGCGTGTTCTGACGTTGACGCACACGTCGATCGAGTTCATCCCAGAGGTGTTCGATTAGTTGAGATCTGGATATATCGACGGCCAGGGCATGACGTTGATGTTGACAATATGAAGGTAGTCCACCGCGACTCGAGCTGTGTGCGATAGCGCGTTGTCCTGTGGAAACAGCTGCCTCTGGCGGCCAATGATTGGAAGAAGGTGAGGTTGAAGCATTTTGATTCATGTAGCGATTTGCTGTCAAATTTCCCTGAACCACAACCGAGTCAGATCTCGTGGTGTAGGATATGGCTCCCCACATCATGACACTACCGCCACCGAAATTGTCGAATTCACGTACACAATGTGGGGCAAAACGCTAATTTCGACGACGATAAACACGTTGTGTTCCATCTCGCCGGTGGAGAAGAAATCGTGATTCATCGCTAAACAACACTCGTCTCCAGTTCCTCAAATTCCAAGGCTGTTAGGTATAGGACCAATGCAAGGGTCGCTGAGGATGGATCTGTTGCAAAACAGGGACGATAACTGGTCTTCTGGGTCGAATTCCGGCCTCGTGAAGATGGTTCCTGGCAGTCTGGCATTTTCGAACTTGAAAAATGTTGACAAGTGAATGACAAATGCAGTTTAAGACATTGCAAATCGACATTGGCTGCGTTTGACGCACCGTTTGGCGAATATCAGGCCACCAACGTTTTCCAGTAACATATATCAAATTTATATACCGGATCTTTTGTGTAGTCAGGTTCAATGAACTACATACTACCTGTGCGTTTCTTTTTTAGAAGAGTGTACGCCAAAATTGGAAAGAAAGGTGTTTTCACGTTACTAGTTATGTGTTTGATTGGCGTTTAATTATCGCAAGGACTACTTATAAACAAACTAAACAAAGGAACTTGTTGCATCACAGAATATGTCCTTCAAGCGTAATTCTGAATACGACTCACAAAACAACTCTGAACTTTTATTTCTAGTAACATTCTTGCGTCCCCGTTAAGATAATTCTATTTACCAGAAGACATCCAACCTTTTCATGTCAAGCACAGACAAAGGCGGCCTTTTATGAAAGAGAAAATGTACAGTGTACTGATTCCGGATCAAAAGATGAGCACGCAGAAGGCTATTACACCGAATAATGGCCAGCAGACAAACGTAATTGTAGTACAGAGACAGAGCGACACTGACAAAATAGGCAAAAATACCAACTATGATCAAAGTTCTTGTGTGATGTCATCCTCAAAGTCAGCCTCAAAGCAAGGGATGTCTGGAGAAAGCTATTAAAATGCTTTAAAATGTTATAGAAGATAATCTAATTTTAAGCCGTAATTTTATTCACGATTTCCGATTTTTTTATCATGACTGACGAACTCAAGCACATGCTAAAACCATTAATACTGATAAACATGTTCCAGGTGGAGTCTGTGATGGTCTAATTGATGCCTTCTGTAACTGTTCTCATGTCCTTTAAACCTATGTTGTACGCTGATGGCAGTCTTCCCAGTCACACTTATTGCATTAGGCCACGCAACGATCAAATAAACCACACGGTGCGGAGAATGAGAGAAAGGGAGAGGACTGATAGATGGGAAAAGGAACAAAGAGAGGGAGAGTGGAAGTGATATCGGTATCGGTTTTAGCTAAAGTAATGAATATGTCGATTGACCTCTTTTGTATTGCAAGACATGAGCTCGCAAGACTGCACGTCTATTTGATCCTTGCGTAAAACAGGCCAGCTTTGTTGGTCAATAAGAGGGGATTCATCACAACCTAAGTTCCAAATGCTCGTGAAATTAGGTGTCGTAAGCTACATTTCCCTTCATTCAGATAGGCGGGCTATTCAGGAAGACGACATCGGTTCGTGCATAGATGGTATCACTGATGAGGAGATTCTACTCGAGTCAACGATCAGGGGGTATTATCGGTACAGATGGAATGACGCGAGACAAGTCCACGCAATGGCCGGCATGCACAACGCGTCCGTTTAGTGGGAGATATATAAGGTATGTATGGTTCTTTGGGCCATTTCTAATGATATAGGTTCTCGGAACTTTATTTAAACAGTTGAATAACCACGTGTGTTTTTTAATCTGTGTATGTTTTGATGTGCATATTCCGATAATGTTCAGTTTCTGTTTTATATGCATGGTGCATTAATCACTCCAGATTCATCACATTGCTACGTTGTTTATTTCGAAAAAAAAATGTTGTGCCAAACATCCTATCCTCTTGTCTCGAACTCACTGCCTCGACATATATCCGATGATCTTTACGAAGTTTCTCTAAAAGAATGTTCAAATAAGTAAATGCTTCACATGGCAATTTTGTACATTATTAAAACTTTATCTAAAACCGTATTGAATATTGAATGTGATATATATGGCTATTATTACTTATATTAATACAACACTGTATACTCATATGGAAGCACGGGTTGCCCAATCGATGTGTGTAGTTTGTCCCTTGCGCGAGAACCCTGTGGATGTGGGTTAGAATCCAGTGGTTCTAATTTGGTCAGCACCATACCTGTGCTTGTAGGTTTCCTCTCCGTGGTAAATGTCTAAGCCTTGCATCACATCAAGCTGACACTCCGGTTATAAATGGTATACTGTCATATAATTTTCCTCGCGACTGTGCTTTTTATTCTCTTTAGAGTCAGTTTCGGCAGATATTCGAGACGGTCTTGACGTTTGAAGAAAACCAGACTCACTAATTCTGGATCATTTACTCACGAATGCTTTATTCACGTCAAGTTCCTTATTGACGACAATACAACGTTTTGATAGAACAACTTACCACTTCATCGCACGAATCACAAATGGATCTATTATCGCTGAACGTTGTCAATACACGTGATTGAATAGGTTGTGAATAGGAAATCTTTCATTCCGTCACATGCACAAATACAATGAAGTAGATTATAATGGTTGACTTAGGAACCGCGGCAGATATCAAGAAGGCGTACCATTTCAAAAATCCAAGATGCGCGTAACGATCAAAAGTGAGGAATCTGTAGTGATGTTGATTTAACAGTTTATGATTCAAACTATTGATTTGGAAGAATACATGTAGCAAAGGCCAATAATGAACTTTAGAAGTATTATACTTTAACGTGCTTTCGATATTATTATTTCGAAGTTTTGAAAAACGCCAATGCCTTGGAATGTGCGTATCTGTTTCTCTTCACAAGAAAAGTTAGACATTCTAACTGAAAGGAAGGAACAAGTTCAAAAACCAACACTTATAAATCATTCCAAATTACAGTGATTACACATTCTCAAAGTGTGGCAAATCTCAAGAATAATTGAAAACTATATCCTCAGGCCATCAGGAAATAGTGAATAGAAAATGATCAACGTGTCATTACCAGACGTGTACGCATCGTACTTTCCATTGTAAATATCAAATTTTTAAATTTCCAATGCAGCATTATTACCAAATGTCTTTCATTTCTTTCAATTTGATTAAAAACCTATTCAACTTCTGAAATGGCAGATGATAAATTGATACTGAATTACATGGGCGTTCGTTTTTAAAATGAATTAGTTCATATGTATTTTTTTTGTGGGTGTGGGTGTGGGTATTATCTGATTGTTGGATAAAGGCACTAAGGTTGTTTTTACATTTTCAGGCTTCGTTACCGGGAATAATGATGGGGTCTAGGGTGGCCCAGTTGTCTAAGACGCTGCAATTAGGTGTGCAAAGTTGCGCCTTTGGCGTGGGTTTGAATACCAAATTCGTCCTGATTGTTTCTAGGTTTGTCAGCACCATACCCGTGCTTTTGGGTTTCAGCAAAGTGGAGAACGTGTAAGACCTGCATCACTTTGGACTTCCTCCCAAACAAACTGACACGCAATGATACAACAAGTTTCTTTTAAATTTAAGTGATCGTCATCCTCTAAGCGCCCCGCCTTTCTGTAATTTCCATGTTTTATGGATAAGTTAAACGTAATAATAACTGGATAAGTGGTACCTCAGTAAAGAGACAGCGTACCAATTTCAATAAGTAAAATAAGAAAATATACGTAGCCTTGACTACAAAGCGATAAACGCACCCGCGTTCTCTTTCACAACTTCATCAACTAACATTAGTCAACAACAGAATCACGACTCCACAGCTCCATGGGTTCATTTCACAAACGATACTTGTGCTACGCTCCGACAGGGTTATGTTTCGAGTCTTGATCGCCAAATACTCTCCAAATTCTTTGTTAAGAGGTTATCATCGAGTGTTCATTTTAAGCGCTGCTTATTTAACGACGAGGTTTACGTTCTCGTGCTTCTCTTTAGCGTCATGGAGGTGATTCTAACGTCGCGTTATTTTTCCCGTCAAGATTTTCCCCCTTATGTATCGACGTGCATGTGCGCGCTTGTGTGGCTGCTTGTACTAGCCCGGATCAATGCCAACTGAGATACCATGCCGCAGTTTTACATGAATACCCAACTCAGAGACAATGTGCTGACTTCGAGGCGACCAGTCTTTATTTTATCCCCTTAATGCCTAGCGCCAGGCAGGGTACCAACAAGTTCAATATTTTAACGTCTTTAGATATGACGCGGACTGGGATTGAACCACCGACCTTCCGCTCTCCGAGCAGACGCTCCATCCACTAGATCACGGATGCGGTCGAGCGTCATGGGGGGTTTCTGGACATTAGTTATTATTGATGGTGATAACACAGCCGTCGTGTGCAGAATGGAGTTTCCATTGTGACGTGTTAGGTCACGTGTTACTTTAGATCTTTGATGTCTAAGATGTCTTTAAGTGTCGGTCTATAGCTTCCTTTACGTACATGAATTGGAACTACGATCGTTTTTGAAACAGGGACCAAGTCTTCATTCATGAAACCGAACTTAGGGTTGTGTCCATGTCACGACAGACTTACGACCGCATGAAGAACGGAGCTTGCTTTTTACATAATGTTACAAATGGAATCCGACATATGTTGGTCTTACCATACATCTTCCTAATGGCTCGCTTGACGCTCCGGTCCCAGAAGCTTCGAGTTCTACAGGAAGGATATCTCCAACACAGGAAAACGATGACGGAGGTGATGACCACCACGCTGACGCCGCCCATGATGATCCCGGCAACCTCCTCAGAGGGAACTGCAACAATACAAACACATCGTACACTTACCCGTCGAGTTTGCAAGGCCATTCCTATTGAAAGGCCATTCCTATTAAAAGGCCATTATCTTGTATGGCTTTTCATCCATGTAATAATAATGATAATGATAATGATGATAACACTACTACTACTACTACTACTACTACTACTACTACTACTACTACTACTACTACTACTATGGCTGTTCTTATTTTCTGGAAAGTTCTTGGCTAGGTCTATTCGACAGCTTTCTTTGGAGGAGTCCAATTCGCTGTCTGGGCTGCGAGGGGGAAAGGGCCCAGAACTGATGATGGGCTTAACCAGTTTGCTGCTTACTGTGCCAGGATCAACATTTGAAATAACACCTTATATCGGAACTTCTTTCAGCCTGCCCCAGTAGCACTGCCCCAAATTGGCTATTTGACCCAAACGGTACAGACAAACCAAAGATCATTATCGCGAGGAATCTGGGATTTGAACCTCGATCAGTTGATGCTGGCACGACCAATGCCCGCAACACTAAGCTGCGAATTCCGGCGTCTCAGACTAATGAGCTACCAATAACTGTCGTTTTTTCTTTTATATCCATGTAAACAATTGTCTCCTTCAACAAAACTCTTTAAGATTATTTGTTCAACGTTAACCTTAAAAACAAGGTCAGCTCCATTTACGTTTTCAGACAAAACAAACAAATTAAGATATAAAAGATAAATATGGTTTATCATGAAATCAGACTGCAAAGCAAGACTCTTAATAACAAATGACGACACACTTGATGACACTTGTCCTAAACATATCAGGAACGTATGCATGGCTTGTGATCCCCTGGGGGTGTTGATAGGGGACCAAATCCAAGGTTAAAGTACAACGTTGATTACATCAAAATACATGACTGTTGTGCCTTGGGCGATATCATCATTGGGATGAACAACACAGGGCAGATGTTGTGCTGGTCTCATGCTGTGAGAACTGTGGAGTGCATTCATTCAACAGATATCAATCTGGGTCAGAAATCATTGATATATCAGTGTTGATATGAAGTCGTGTTGTTATCTGACATATAGCATGTATCGAAGCGTCACGTGTGTGTTTTATAACTGATTTGAAAGTAAGTTTAGGTAAATGCTGTTTTAAATTATATTTCAGTTATATGACGGATCTTCAGCTTCTTGTGGGACGAGGGTCGATGGGGAAGCCTGGTGGCTCAAGCATTCGCTCGAGCTCGTCACTACGAAGACCCGGGTTCGATTCCCGACATGGGTACAAAATGTGAAACCCATTTCTGGTGTCCCCGCCGTGATATTGCTGGATTATTGCTAAAAGCGGCGTAAAACCTTACTCACTCGCTCTTTGGGGGCGAAAGCCGAAATGACACGAGCTGTAGTTGTTTACCTCTTTGACCAAACATGTCATCAGTAAATCCTGGCATTCCTAAGGGACGCAACTCTACATTGTTAATTGCGGTGCATTAGACCATAAGACCAACAGTACCAATTGTGTTAAGAATGTCATGAAAATATGAAATTTACAATGATGAAGATTCCGATGTATGCTTTGTCAGGACAACAATCACACGCAGCATAGTACGAGATGCAAACCCGGTTATGTCAGTTGTAGTCTTCTTTTACTTATACGGCAATTAAACAGTGTTCATTAACAAACTGCACTCGTACACGTAGTTAATTCCTTTTAATAAAAGCAATTTTTGTCTGACATCATAAATATATGAGGTCCGACAGAAACTCTGCAGGCAATGCATGGTATTACGTTATGGTATTATTACAATTTGCTGTTTGACTTGTAAGCGAATCATTATTCTTGTTGAACGACAACCCCAGTGAATAACCAGTCTCGATTATCCACCAATACAGATTCCATTGGGCGTAAAAGGCAAAATAGCCGTGAGAGAAAAGCCGTTCTCAAAAAGTTTAAGCATGTCTTGTCCTACCAGCAACACCCACCAATCGCACAATTTGCATGAAAAAGTAATTGTGTGTTACTTGACGCCGTGTTCCTTTGAAGTTCCGGGGTTCGATTCCCGTCCGCATCATACCAAAAGATGGTACTTGTTGTTACCTGTCTGGCGCTCGGCATCAAGGGGCAAAGACAAGGGCCGGTCGGCTCGGAGTCCGTATACTGTGTCTGAGTATAGGGTATTCATGTTAAACTGCGGCATGGTATCTCAGTGAATTAACACTATAAAATCGGCATACACGTACATACACGTCGCTATATAAGTGCAATAATCTTGGACACGACGTTAAATATTGTTCAAAACGGCGTTAAATCCAACTGAAAATATACTGATAGTTTATCTTACACATTTAAGGTTGAAGATAAAAAAACCACGATCCACATGTATATAGGCCAAAAAGTATTTTCATAAAACTCCATCATTATCACTTCCACAATCGTGTTTATGCAACGCTGCACCATGTAACCTACATTGATAATAATAAAAATACCCGAGGCACATCTCGATCCCCCAAATATGCGTGCACAAGCTCTTTAAGGTATAACTAGGGTATAACTGTTCCATTATCTTGATCAACGTGTCGTTGAGTTGCCACCTGTCATTGTTTACAGTGACGTGTGACAATATGATATCAATATATTATTGTCCAATCATTTAAGCTGACACCGTGTCGTTTATCTCAGACGACATTCTTTTAGAAAAAACTTGACGCGTGTCTACAAACGTTTTGGGTTATAACACCAACCATAGCTTACATTATTTTACTTATAGGAACCATTTGAACACATTACTGTCAGTTATGTCCTACATGAACGAATAAGGAACAGGATCCCGACCCGTGCAATTCGGAGTAGAATAGGTTTTCAGCAACCTATGCTTGCCGTAAAAGGCGACTATGCTTGTCGAAAGAGGCGACTAACGGGATCGGGTGGTCAGGCTCGCTGACTTGGTTGATGCATGTCATCGATCCAAATTGCGTGGTTCGATGCTCATGATATCAATCACTGATTTACAGACCGCCGTCATATAGCTGGAATATTGCTGAGTGCGGCGTTAAACAACCAACCAACAAAAAATCCCAAAGAAGTTTTCATTTAATCCAGGGTTTTGCTTGAATGCAATGAATACGTCCTATTGAGTCCATCGTCTGTTGACTGCATGTGGAAAGCAAAATATCAAGAGCAAGTGCCTCTCGGCTTGAACAGCGTATAATGGGTTATGTTTATGCCTGCAATTACCAGGCCATCGTGCGCAATATACATTGAACTATTGTTGTAGACAGACCTAAGGTTACACTGCAGTGTTCAAACATGCAGGGGGCACGGGTGGCCCAGTCGTCTAAGGCGCCGCGATTCGCTGTGCAGAGTTGCGTCCCTTGGGCACGCCAGAAACCTATGATTGTGGGTTCGAATCCCGGTTCGCCCAAATTATGTTTCTAGGTTTGTCAGCACCATACCCGTGCTCGTGGGTTTCACCGAAGTGATAAACGTCTGGGACCTGCATCACTTCGGGCTTTCCTCCCACATTAAGCTGACACGCCGCGATATAACTGGAATAATGTTAAAAGCGGCGTTAAACCCAACTCACTCACTCACTCAAACATGCATAAGTTTGTTACAACAACATGGATTCCTATTATTAAGGACTGGCTATGACGAGAGGAACATTTGTGCAGGTATTAAGTCTGACACGCGAAACCTAATTAACTCGAAATACTGGGCTATCGAACATATTCGAGTGACCCGTTGTTCGAGACAAGCGGTTTGTCAGTGTCAGACCGTCTGGATTCTGATGGGACTATGAAGTAACATCGTCTTAATTGATACATGAGGTTAATAGAGTTCGAGTTAGCGATGTTTCAATCTACAGGGTAAAGTGTACTGTTTTACATGTAGGCTGATATTGTTTGATGTTAGAAAAGGATTTACACATCTGAAACGTAGTTATATTTATTTCATGGTGTCTTTATTACACTAAAACATGCGACATGAAAGTACATAAACATATACATGTTTGCTATATTGTGTGCGATATGAACCAAATGGGTGTTTTTGTGGTACATTGTATTTAATTGGCAATGGACTGAACCAATAACTGTGACCAAAAACTTCACATTGCCTTTGCATGTGTTTGTGACGGGTGCCATTTGTGGGGCAGGACACGCTCACCTTTTCGAGAACACCTGGAATCATTACTTGATAGTCATTCATAAACACACGCTCATGATATTGTCGGAATCGAACAATCGACTCTATTTATGCAGAGATTTCTATTGGATAAGGAAAAGGGTTTTGTCGCTTTGTGAATCATGAATCAGAGTCAGGAGGCGGCAGTATGTAGTGCATGCTTATTCATCGTCGTCATCCTCCCCCTCACCATCCACATCATCATCATCATCATCATCAGCAGCAGCAGCAGCAGCAGCAGCAGCCCGTATATATGTGGACGTAATATGACTTTCCATGAAATGTCTTGTGAAAAAAAATCTACTCCAGAAAGCAGGACGGCTTGTTATGTCAGAGCAACGCAAGCTTTCCTATTGTGTATCCATAACACCACCAGATGAAATAAATAAATAAAACTTTTTCAATATCTTACTCATACTTTCTGTTTCGCTGATTATAATTCAAATATATTGTGTATTAAACACATGCACGAGAAAACGAAGCTGTGAATCTATTCTGGTGGCTTTGAAGTTCTGCACTTTATATCGATTCAATCAGATGTTTACTTACGTTAATCCAGCCTCCATATAAACGTTATCATGTATACCACTGACTTAAACTACCAATATAATCAGGAAACTGATAGCAAATAACATTTCATCATGACGGTTATATTTTCATTCATTTTCATCAGTGAGTCCACCAAACATCAAAGATCGCCAACTCGTGCCTCAAACACGGTAACCACTCGTTCCTAGACTGTTTGAATGTCTGACATGGATTAGGTGCTATTCAATTTTCAGATGCTATTTTCGTGAGAACAAACAATGGATAAAGCCGATCGATCCCATCGAAAACT